ATGATCTCATTTAATGTGTTTAGTTTGGTCATATTGTCATAATGTGCATTCCCATTTTGAGTATATCTTTCCATATTATGAACATTTCATAGATTTACCTGTTCAACGACATCCTGTGTGAATTCCTCAAGCAATGCTCGCATGGTTCAAGGACTCAATTCTGTTATTGGCTCATAATGACTTTGACTTCTTTGACTATGTCCCTCTGTTCGTGGAGAGTTTTACTGCTCCTCATTTCGGTTGATCACAGACTGGACTACTCATTGGCTTACTGGTTCTTTATCAGAATTCTTATGAGGTATAATGCTTCACTTTTCGTATTCTCAAACACTAATGGTCCCACTGGGCGTGCCAAATTGTTTCGCGCAGATTATCACTAACAATTAAAAGATAGGTTCAGACGATTGTGTAAGGAACAAATCTCTTGAGACAAAGTCCCAAAATTGGTTGTTTTACTTATGAAGATTGCAATTTGGAAGAAACAAAATACCTCCAAGGGGCACAAGCACACGAAGTAAATTGAAAATTTGTACTTAGAAAATAAACGATTTGAAATTACATATTTTCTATTGAGATTGATTAGTTCGGTCCTTTCCTTCCATGTCTTCTTTTCATTTTTATACTCATTTGACGGTTTTTCTCCGTAGAATGACCTGGAAACTGCTGTCGTTCTATAACTACCCACTTTCTTCATGATGGCTGACTTGTCAAGAAACTGTTGTTTGTAACTTGTTGCTATTACTCTTGTCATTTAACCACTTATAACCAAGATTTTTGGATTGTGGGGTGTGATAAGGTTACTCGATAATTGCTTCAATAACCGTCATTTTAAATAACCACATGACACCGTATTTGCTCAAATCTTGAGCGACTCAAAGGCTTGGGCGAGAATGGAATCATCGTTCTGGGCGACAGTAAGACACTTCATTCTCAAATTCTAGACGTCCTGCAGGCTTGGGCAATGATAGTACTTTGTTTATGTGCCTCCGCTATATTCTACAATGGT